GTTATTTCTTTTGGACATAAGTATTCCAAGATTACTGTAGAACAGTTGTGGTTCTCATGTTTTGATATTTTTATAAATAATATTTTTTATGGTGAATAAAGTGGTTAACTATTTCCTTTCACATATGAATCTATTCTCAGTATTTTAGGAATCCATTGCTTTATAATTCTGGCTTCTGAAATTATCCTACTGTCACTAAGCCTCAAGAATTTCTCTATAGGGGGCCTAAAGAAAGGAAATGTAGTTGTGACAAGGGCTATGACACTTATTCTGTAACTGTATTTACATAACAAGGAAAGGTTTTTACTTAGTTGTATGTCAACAATAAAAATGACACTGCTTTCTGGGGCCCCTGGGTGGCTCAGTTGGTTAAGCGTCCAACTTTGGCTCAGGTCATGATCTCACAGTTCGTGGGTTCGGGCCCCGCGTCGGGCTCTGTGCTGACAGCTCGGAGCCTGGAGCCCGCTTCAGATTCTGTGTCTCCCTCTCTCTCTTCCCCTCTCCTGCTCAAACTCTGTCTCTATCTCTCAAAAATAAATAAATATTTTAAAAAATGACACTGCTTTCTAAAGAAATGTTTATTTTTGCTAAATGTGAGACTGAGAAAACATCAGTTGTCTGTAGCAAATAATTATTGTATATTTTTTCAGAGTGTGGGACGCTAAAGTGGTCTAAGCCACCCACAGGGGCTATCACTATCTGGGTACCATGGAAATGATCCTAGCCAGCCACTTAGCATTCATTTGCCTTCATGGTCTTGCTGTACTCTTTACAACTCATTATGGGCAATTAGTTTATAATTCTTTATAAGCAATAACTCTGGTGAAATGAAAGAAATGTATAAAGAGATAATGTCAATTGTTAGTTTTTGCAGATAGAAATAAAAGTTTTTGATAATGTTACTAGAGTAATGATGTGGTGCAATATAAACTTTACAAAGTTCATTTTATTAACAAAATGTATTTTAATGGCTTTATCATTTGCTTTAATTCTATATGTATAGAATTAATAAAGTCCAGAAAAGGCTAGTTATATTTTAGTGGATCTCATGATGGAAAATGTATAATAGTAGTTGTATTCATGTGGATTCAGGAGGATATTGGATTATAGTTCCATCATCCATAATCAAGAGCCACTTTCTTACACTATTTCAAATAGTGTTTGATCTTTTACATTTTCACATTTCTTTTTCAATTTTGTGAATTTTTATGCTTAATATGGAAGATATCAAACTCCAGTTGTTTAATTTTGTAAATAAATTAAACATAATTTTTAGTGGTATGGGAACTGGAGCTCTCATAGACACCATTAGAAGGATGTAAACATGTCACTCTGGGAACATGTGGGGAATAAGCTTAGAAATTCCCTGGGCTTACACCAATTACAAAGCCTTAGGTTGCTCTCACCCAAGCTTGGGTAAACCGAATAAGAACCCTAGAATAGAGTAGGGAGGGGTAAAGGACCCCAGATTAAAGTTGGGAGGAACCAAGGCCCCCAGGATAGAGAGGGAGGGGCAAAGGCCCCAGAATAGAGAGGGGGGCAAAGGCCCCCAATATAAAGGTATATGAGGTAATCAAGATTAGGCATTCAGGGCGAAAACATCCCCCAACTTAGTAGTATAACAGAGAGCTGCTTTCACAGGAAGGAAGGACCAAATTAGGTAAATAGGTATATAGGGCTATAGATTCCAGGGCTGAAGCTACCCAGAGCAGAGCTGATTAGCAAAAGAAAAGGTGTCTTGTTAACCCTGAAGTTATTTGCCCCATCTGTCTTATCTCTTAGGCTAGCTAAGATAAACAGACATGATGCCTCCTGTCCTGCCATTAACAACCATCTAACCATCTAACCATCTGCCCATCTACCAGGCGCCAGGATTTTGTTTTATATTGACCCAAACCCCAAATACCATATATCTTCAAAACCCCCTTTTCTCTCATGCCCGTGAGTTAATGTTCACAGATTCATTGTCTCTTTGTGCATGCCCATCACATTTGTAAGCCGTCTGATTTTAATAAATACGGAGAAAGGACACTTATTCGGGGCTCTTGTCTTTTCCTGGACATTAGCCATCTCTCGCTTTTAATCCTGTGTCCCTCTTTCTTGCTGGCCAAGAAAGAACTTTAGACTTAGAGTCTACGACAGGAACACTTGCTTTTATGAAGCAACTGGATTAATCTAATTCCTTTTAAATCATAGTCTGTATTTCACTGCCATTATCTTTGTAAACATCTAACTGAGTTAATGCAGTGATCTCTCTGAATGTATAATACTTAATTGCTGAATATGAAATAAAAAGTTGTGCTGTTTTAGACTATGAACTGTATCAATCAATATTTTGTAAGTAATGTTCCAGATAATGTAGTTTTTGAAGTATTAAATTTTTGAATTGTTGAAGTCCTCTTTAATATTTACTCATCTGAAATTTCTTAAAATTTTTTTTTAATGTTTATTTTTGAGAGAGAGAGAGAGAGAGAGAGAGAGAGAGCACAAGGAAGGGAGGGACAAAAAAAAAGTGAGACATAGATTCCGAAGCAGGCTCCAGGCTCTGAGCTGTCAAAACAGAGCCTGATGTGGGGCTCGAACCCACAAACCGTGAGATCATACCTGTGCTAAAGTTGGCCGCTTAACTGACTGAGCCACCCAAGTGCCCCTCATTTATCTTAAATTTAAACATCTTTTTCTGAAAGGGATTTGACATCTCAATTTGGAGATATCTGCAAGTTATAACTAAATGTCATTATATATCAACTGTAATTACTGAAATTTGCATTGTCCATATAGATTACTTTGTTCTGAAATTAATTTCTTTCCCTAAATCAGCCACTGGTTTTATGTTTGCAGAGTACATTTCCAAAACTACTTCCTTGACGTCCTTTTTAGTGGTTGAGAATTAAATTTCGCTTTCTGATTTTCTCCTACTTATGATCTTTGAAGATAAATGTGAGCTTTTATTTTGAATATTGGACCATTAAATCTCTTGGTCACATCTTCCTAGAATGATATATTTGAATCATCTTTCTTATTTTCCTAAATATTTAAGTATTCACATATTCTGGAGTCTCAAATTGATTTTTCTAAACTGTTACAAAACTTTTTAAATGTGCATAAAGGTGGTATTACTGAAAAGAACAAAAATGCCAGTTGTAGCAAAGAATGAGTTTGCAGATTATGAAACATCAAGTGTTAAAAGTTCCCAGTGAATAATGGGATTTTTAAGGGCAACTAAAAAAATATTTTAGCGAGAGAGTGAGCAGGGGAGAGGGGCAGAGGGAGAGAGTGAATCTTAAGCAGTCTCCGCACTCAACACGGAGCCTGACATGGGGCTCGAACTCACAACTCTGGGATCATGACCTGATCCAAAATCAGGAGTAGGACACTCAACTGACTGAGCCACTCAGGTGCCCCAAGGGAAATTTTTATGATCTCTTGATTAATATAGAGTATATTTCTATTTAGATGAAAAAATAAATCAAAGTAAATCAAAATAAATTGTATACTTTCTTCTTTCTGTTACTAGATGAAGCAAACCTTAATTAGATCCCAGTTTGCTTGTACTTATAAAGAGGACTGCATAATAAGCAAGGATAAATGGAATGATGTTAATTCAGCATCAGAGCCTTTGTATGTACTTCGCATGGAAAATGACCTTTCTGGTAATTGACCTTATTTGAGTAATTAAATAACAATTTAATTCTAGTGTATTAATTAGTTTTAACTTAAATAAAACTAGATTTTGTTTTGAAAAGTATGAAATGTGAAATGTAAAGGTTTATATTTTTAAGACCTGAGTTTATTTAAAAAGTTATATCTATGTACAAATCTAGGAGGAATAGGACACAGTTTGATTCAACTAAATGTATTTAAGAAATCACTTGTAGTATTTAAGGGTTAAGTGTCATGCATTCAAACAAAGCAAATATTTGTTTGTATGGGTAAAAAGTGATATGGGGAAAATGAAAATTAATGTGATAGTAATATGGCTGTATTTGCTAATCATGTAATTTATGGTGTTATGTGATTGCAAATCAAATTTTTGAATATTCTTTAGTGAATTTTAAACTTTATTGTAAAATTTTCATAGGTAATAATACTAAATATTATGTAATCTCTTTCCTCTTTTCATCCTGCATAACAGAAGGTGTAAATTCATCTGTTAGAAGACCAACAGTTGGAACGAGTTCTGGAAATGTTCATCTGGACAGAAGTAAAAGTGAAAAAGTTGCAAGGAAATCAAGTAGTCAGACAGGAAATAAAAGCTCAAAGAGGAAACAGGTGGATTTAGATGATGAAAATAATCTTTGTGATAGTGGAAATGAACCATCTCAACATAAAAATTTTAAAATACCTAAGACATCAAACAATTTCCAGAATAAATTGTGTGGCAAAATAGCTAGAGTAGCAAAAAGCAACAACTGTACAGGCAAGGACAAATTGATTACTGGCCAGACAAAGTTAACTCAATATTTTAGACTATGAATTTGTTTTTTATTTGCTTTAGATTTCTGTATATATTAAACCATTCACCAAAGGCATCTACTTAATTTTTAAGAGATCAAGGTATAGGGGCGCGTGGGTGGCACAGTCAGTTAAGTGTCCGACTTCAGCTCAGGTCATGATCTCGTGGTCCATGGGTTCGAGCCCCACAACGGGCTCTGTGCTGACAGCTCAGAGCCTGGAGCCTGCTTCGGATTCTGTGTCTCCCTTTCTTTCTATCCTCCACCACCCATGCTCTGTCTCTGTCTCTCTCTCTCTCAAAAATAAGTAAACATTAAAAAAAATTAAGAAAGAGATCAAGGTATAAGTTATGATTCTTTATTATATTGGTCTGAAGTGTATATAAGGTTAGTATGTTAAGCATTTAAAAAATACTCATAAATCATAATTATGCAGAATATTCACAAAGTTTAATGCACAGATAAAGCATATCATTTAAGTTACAGATTTATTTACTTTATTTTAAAACAGACATTTTAAATAATATAAGTCATAGTAACATTAAGGGCTTTTTCCTGGACAGACAATTAAATGATTTTGTTTTCTTCAGGAAAGATGTGGTCCAGCAGGTTTCAGACTTGCCAACAAGGTCGATAGACTCTCCCCAGCATGCACCTGAGCACTGAAGGAATAAAAAAGTTTAAATTGTCTAAAGGACTATTATTATCACACAAAATTTATTAGAAATAAGAGAATGGATCTTATACAGCTAATTCTGAGTAAGTCAGTATTACAATAACTCTTAAATTCTTTTTAATCCCACATCTGTGGCAGGGGGCACTTAATGTCAAGTGTAATTGAACCATGGTCTTACTTGATTTTGTTAAGATTGGATCCAGATCCACTTAAAGTCAGAATTCTCTTTTATAGTATTAAGATGTAAGAATTGAATTTTAAAAAGACTACTCACTGTCAAAATCTCTCCTTCCTATAGGAAATTTAGCTGAGTTTTCTTCATCCCCAATTTCTCTCTTTTCTTGTGTTGATTCAGTATTCTGAACTCCATTCTCAGCTGGAAAAGCTACAGATCCTTTTAGTGCCAGATAAGGTTTTATAGCCAGATTCAGTGGCAGACCATGATTTAAGAAATTATGTTTGGAGCCTGTGTTCTGTAAAGAAAAGGTTGATTTGTGTTTTAGCTGTCTTATTGGGAATAGAACTATAATATAGTTGTATAGTATTCTCACTGATCATTTCAAAGATGGCTCTGTACTGTTTTGACTCTTTAAAAATACATTAGATACAGGGTTTTGGGAAAAACCTTTTGGATAAGAGGTGTTGTCCAGAATGGAAAAACCACCTGCTATGGTACGAAATTTCGTCAGTTGTCCTAAAGCATAATGTGACTGCTTGCATATATTTTTATAAAATTTTACTTTCAAAAGCATTGTAAACATCATTCAGATTTCCACTGAAAAAAGGATAAGTCCCATTGCCACTTACCTTTGAATTTTTGTTTTCCTCATCGTTCATGAAACTGCTCTCATCATTTTTATATTGTTCCAGAGAAGGAACGACGACTGATTTTTGAGGAGTATCATCCTTCTGAAAAGCTTTCCCCAGCCTGAATGTATTAAATACCATGTCATCTTCTAAATTTCTTATGGACTTGGATGCTGAAAGTAAAATGCCTTGAGAAAACAGAGAAAAAGTTAGTATTAATATGTAGGAAGAGAGACTCATTTTTGCCATTCTTAGTTTGATGTTTGCATAGAGTCAAATAAAAGTATGTAAAGTGAAGGAAAATTTCTCAAGTCAACCTGCTTTGAAAGTGATTCCTACCTTTATATATTTTCCAGTTTGAATAGAAAGCACTTCAAAGACGTAGACTTTCATCATTCTAGAAATGACTCATCAGATAGAGGCTAACCTCTTGTATAGCTGCTAATACCTACATTGTTTTGGTTTTAGTGGCATATTGTTTATTTTGAGTGTGTATTTTCTCAGGATCTGATTAAGATCCTTGGTAGAATGCTTTCTGTTGAATAGATTACAGTCTCTTGAAAGTGGATTGTTATTAAGGAAGACCATGGGACACCAGGCTCTCCATACTCTTACTGTTTTCTTCTCTATATTTTCTGATTAGGCATGGTATTGAAGCTAAAGTTATTTTATTTAAGGATGATAAAGGTTTTATTTACTTTTAATCCTGATTAAATTGAAGTAGTCTTCCAAAAGGATTTTCTTTCATAAATGCTCAGTTTAGTTTTTGGTAATTAAAGTATATATGCCTGTCAGTGTGAACAAAAAGTCATTCATGCCTTATCAAAAATTGGCTTGTCATTGTGTTTTATCTCTGCATTTACAAGAGGATATTAATTATGAATTTAACAATGAATAAGAAGTCCATGAAAAGAGTATTTATGTGTTCTATAAATATTAATTTTGGTGAATATGTTGTATAATGGTTAATTAAACATTTTGCAATTAAGTTCTCATTTTGACCCCTCCAAGTAGAATACAGTCTTGTATTTGTCTTTTGGTACATATGTGCAAAAATTTTCTAGGGTATATTCCTAGGTGTGGAATTAGTCATGGAATACACGTGTTCAGCTTTACTAATGCCAAAATGTTTACAGAATAGTGGTAGCCAATTACCTGCCCACCAGCAGGGGTTTGACAATTCCCATTGCTCTATGTCCTAACCAATACTTGGGTATCTTATTGTCCTTTTAATTTGTATTTCTCTAATTACCAAAGAAGTTGAATGTCTTTTCATATATTTATGAGCCATTTGTCATTCCTCTTATGTAAAATGCCCCTTAAAAAAAATCTGTGTCCATTTTTCTTTGGGTTGTCTTTTTCATAGTGATTTATGGGAGTTCTTTATATCCTAGATGTTATTGTTAGTTACATGTGTTTTATATATTTTTTCTCATTTTGTGACTTGTCTTCTCAACCCCTTTATGGTTCTTTTGGTGCACCAAACTGCTAAATTTTATTGTTTAAAAATTTTTCCCTCATAATATGATTAGTACTTTCAACATGTTTTTATTTAGAAATCTTTCCCAACCCTGAGATCATTATCATATTTCTATACATTCTAAAGCTGAAATGTTTTGACATTGACATTTAGATTCTTAATTCATCTGAAATTTTGTGTATGATTTAGAATAGAGATAAATTTTACTTTTTCCAAATGTTTTTACATATTTCTTGAATAATTTGTCCTGTGTCTACTAATCTGCACTGCTGTCTCTGCAGTATATCAACTTTCTGTATACATGTGTGTCTCTTTCTGAACTCTTCTTACACTGCCAAATCAACAATCTTAATTATTATAATTCTAAAATAATTTTTGATATCTGGTAGGTCAAGTTTCCTAGCTGCCTGCTCACCCACCAGTTTTTCTTCTACAGCAGTTCCTTGGCTATTGTCCATTTCTTTTTCATATAAATCTTAACATCATCTTTTCAAGTTCTGTGAGAAACTTTGGTGGGATTTTGAAGGGAATAGTATTAGTTCTGTGGATTAATTTTAGAGGGTAATTGACACTTTTAGGATAATTCATTTTCTTATCCATGGACATGGTACTTTTCCATATTTATTTAGATCTTCTTTAATCTTTTAATAACATTTACTATTTTCTTCATAAAGTTCTTACATGTTTTTGTTGAAAGGATTATAATTCTTTATAATTATACTTAAACTATTTTAGTTATTATAAATGGTATTTTTAAGAAATTTACCTTTTCTAATGTTATTGTTGGTTATAGACATGCATTTGGCTTTTGTGTAGTGCTCTTATAAACAAAAAACTTTCTAGATTCTTTTTAATTCCAAATAGTTTATAAATGTATTAATTCTTTGGGGTTCTCCATGAAGACAATTGATATAAAAAATAAAATAATGGCATTTTATTACCTCCTTCCAAGCCCTTCTGTATTTGTATGTGTGTGTGTGTGTCTTTCTTCTGTGTGTCTGTCTGTGTAAGCATGCACACTAATACTGACCAAAACCTCCAGTAAATGTTGGGAATAGAGATAACAGACATCTTTGCAGTATGACTGATTTTAGAGAGAATGCTTTTAATGTTTTGCTGATGATCATATCATTTTTCTCCTTCGATCTTTAGTAAGTGAAATGAACAGATTTTTCTCATGTTAAATCAACCATGTGTACATGAAACAAACCTTTTAAAAATATAATTGGAGTCAATATGGTAGTATTTGATTTAGTACATTTTACGTTTATTATCATGAGTGAGATTGATATGTACTTTCTCTTTCTTGTGTTGCCTTTGTCTGGCTTTAAGGTTATGCTAGCTTCATAAAATGAACTGGGGAATATGTTTATTGCATTTATTTTCTCTCCTGTAAAAACTATTTGAGTATGGTGTTTTCTTGCTGGGATTTTTTTTTTTATAACGATGAATTCACTTTGTTCAGTGACTGTAGGAGTATTCAGCTTCTCTGTTTCTTTTTTAGTTTGTTTCAGGAATGTGTATTATTATAGAATTTGTCCATTTCACTAAAGTTTTCAAATTTGCTAGTATAAAGTTATTAATAATATTTTCTTCTAAATATTTTAATTCTTGCTTCATCTGTAGTTATATTTTATTCTGATTATGTTTACTTGTAGTCTTACAGTCTCTGCCTGTCTCTCTTTCATCCCTCTGTTTTGATCAGGCTTCCTAGAAGTTTATCAGTTTTGTTAGCCTTTTCAAAAACAAACTTTTGGTTTGTTGCTCTTTATTATATTTTTCTATTTTATTAATTTCTGCTGTTTATTATTTTGGGGGGATATTTTTTAATTTTTATAAGTTCTTACATTAGAAGAATAAATCATTAATATTTAGACTTTAAGAAAATAAGCTATATGTTTCCTTTTATGTATCATTTTTGCTAATTCCTACAATTTTGATAAGTGAATATTCAGTGTTTAATTCTAAGTTTTTATTATTTTCATTATTTCTTCTTTGACCCCTCAGTTACTTAGGTACTTTTAACATTCCAAATATATGGGAATTGAAATTTGGGGGCAGGGGCTACCAATTTTCAACAAAGTTGTGTCAGAAGTCTTGGTCTATAAATTATAGAGTATTTGAAATCTAGATTCAACAATATGTAATGATTTTTAACTGTTTTTGACATACAAATACAAATTTCATATAGTTCAACATAGAGAAACTTGCCTTATGGCCTATAATATCTTCACTTTACATAAAAGTTCTGTCTATTCTTAAAAGACTATGTATACATTATTGTTGAGATCAGGGTTCTATAAGTCTCCATAAGATGACACATGATAATATGTTGTTTAAATCTTAGATGTTTTATTCATTTTTTGTCCACATGAACTATCTATTATAGAAAGAGATATTCACAAATCACTACAATGGACTTATCTAATTCTTTTTGTAGTTTGCAATTTTTGCTTTATTTATTTTGAGCTTATGTTATTAGGACACTCAAATTAGAAATTGTTTCATCTTACTTATAAGCCAAATCATGTATCATGACCCTCTGCAGCATTAATAATGTGTCTATTACTGTTATTTTTCCTGTATCTTTATGTTTTAGATATACCTATTGTAAATACCATGTAGCTAAGTTTGGAATTTTTAGTCTGACAATTCTGTCTTTTACTTAGAGACTTTAGTCTATTCTGTTTACTGAATTACTGAGATTCATTACCACTGTCTTCTTTTGTGATTTTTATTTGTTCTAATATGTTTTCCTCACTCCACCCTCCCTTTCTTGCCTTCTGGTTAAATTTAATCTATTTTTTGTTCTTTTAGAGGCAACCCTAGACATTTTAATATCATCTTTAGTTATTTATGTTTTAGTTAATCTGTATTTCTGCATTTCTCCCAAATAAGGTAAACACCTTCAAATCCTAGCTCCAGTTACCATTATTCCTAATTTATATGCTATTATGTTATTTTTTTAATGTTTATTTATTTTTGAGGGAGAGACAGAGTCGCATGGAGGAGGGGCAGAGAGAGACACACAGAATCCGAAGTAGGCTTGAGGCTCTGACCTGTCAGCACAGAGAGTCTGATGTGGGGCTCGAACTCACCAACTGTGAGATCATGTCTTGGGCTGAAGTCAGATGCTTAACTATCTGAGCCACCCAGTCCCCCCATTGCTATTATTTTCTAAGATTTAAGTTCTGTCTTGATTTTTTTAATGAAATAGAGACTATTCTGTTGTTTTATGCAGTTAACTCTTGTTTAGATTTACCTGCAAGCTTACTTTTTTTTCCTCACCATTCCTTTTTACATCTGAGATCTTTGTTTGGTAATTGTCTTCCTTCTGAAATACAAGTTTCTGAAGTATACTGAGTTAGATGCTAACTTAGTGAGGGTCTGTTAGTTATGAACTAAGTTTTGTTTTGTTTTAGTTAAATGTATTTTGCTGTTCTTAAAAAATGGTGTCCGTGTCTATACAGTCATTTATTTGACTATTATTTTCTCTTAGTACATTATTATTTCAGTTTCTGGTTTTCATTGTTACTAGTGAGCTATCAATGCTGTCGGTTTTAATCATGATGTCTTTATAGGTAATCTCTATTTTCTGTCTGTCTGCTTTTAAAATCTTCTCTTTGGCTTTGATGTTCTGCAGTTTCACATGATGTGTCTGGGTTTGGATTTCCTTTAATTTATGCTTAGATTCTTGAATCTGAGGTTGAGTGTTTCTTATGAATTCTGGAAAATTATTAGTTATTATTCCTTTGAATATTGCCTTTCCCTTTGCTGGAATTCCCAATATAATATTGGGCCTCTGTGCTTACTCTGTCCTCTATTTCTTGTAACCCTCTCTTTCCTAGTTTTTCTTTCTGCCTCTGTGCATTTTAAATAATTATTCAGAGTTATATTCCAGCTTACCAGTGCATTTTCACTTATATCTAATCTGCTGTTTAATCTGTGTTGAACTTTTAATTTCTTATATTTTTTATTTTTAAAAATTCTTCTTGGTTCCTTTTCATATCTGCCTGGTCAGTTTAAAAATGGTTTTCCATTTTTAAAAATTTGAAATCTTTTATTGCTTTAAATCTATTCTTAAACATTGATTTTATATTTGTATCTAATTATTCTAGTATCTGCTATCTTTGTCTGTTTGATTCTATAGTTTCTTATTTCTGCTTATCCCTAGTTCATGGTGTCTTCTTCATGTGTTTAGTGAATTTTCATTTTTTGTATATATTCATTGAACTGTATCCAAAGGAGTTCTTGAAATTCTTGTGTTGGCTTCTGCCAGGCCTCTGGAGCACTAGCAACCCAGGGCCACTTTAAAATTTCTGCTTGAGGCTTTTCAGGCCACAGCATCAGTACAAATACCAAACTAAGTCAGTATGCCTTTGTCATTAGGAATTCTCAGGACAGTATATATTTTTTCTCCACCCGCCCCATCTCCCTCCCTTGTTTTCTTAGAGCCATTCCCAACATAGACTTGTTTCCTTCTACAGGCTGGATTTTTTTTTGGTCGTTTACTTCCTTATGGGGTTCCCAGCTTTATGTGGGATTTTCTGATCTGAGCTCTCATTTTACGTGGGTCCTAAGGTTTGTCTTCTGTCCCAGCATATGTGGGTCATTAAAACCAGGTGCTAGGCCACCAGGAATTCACAGAATCTCTCAGAGCAAATGTTGTCTGTAACCCTTGTTAAGTCCTGTGGAATTTTTTTTCTTTTCTAGCTTCGTATGGTTTCCCTTATTTTACCACCCGTCCAGCCATACTTTATAAAAGATGTTTTTGTCAAGCATTTTGTCAAGATGTTTTTTACTGAGAGGTGGTCTCTACATAAGTAGTCTGCCATATCACTGGAGTTGGATATATCACTTCATACTTTAGTATAAAATTCTCTCTGCAAGGGAATCTTTGTGCAAAATGTATATATAATGCATGCTAAATTATATCCTTTTTAACTTTTGTGTTATAGGGCTATATTTCACGTTCTTCAATGGCTGTTTAATATTCTGATTTCTGTAAGTATGTTTTGTTAGAGATGGAAAGAGCTGCTAATTCTTTTGGGGACTACTTAAATCTTATTAGGGATATGTTTTCTGAGAGCATTTATAATAAAAGACTCTGAACTCCTCTGACTTTGTTCTTAGAGCTTTCTTTATCTTTTTAATGTTAGTTGTGCCTTGATTTTCCCCAGGGTTTGAACCTGCTTTGGAGGTGCTATTTAATCTACAAAAGTCCTTGTTAATGGTAATTTTTTTTAGCTGCTATTCTAGAAGTATAATAAATATTTATAATTATGTATTTTGTGTTAAATTTTCACTGCATGAATTGGTTTGCCTGATCTTCACCCAAAATTGGGACCAAATTCAAACCATTTAAACAGTTTAGAAAAGTTAGTTAATGTTTTCCTTTATTTTGTTTAAATTGTCTTACACTCTGAACAGTATGAGGTTTTCCCATAATCATTTAATTATGGAGATAGTTTCCAATTTTCTTAAATGATAACTTTTTTTTGAAACATTGGTTACTCTGATGTGCAGTGGAGCATAGTAGATTTCTTTTCCATTGATGCTGAAAATGAAGTGTCCCCAAGTGGTAGAAAGGAACTTTGAAGAAGAAAAACTCTTGCCAGATGGACTTGGGTGGTTCAGAAAACCTTGGAAAGGCAAAAGGTTTATATCAAATGTGATCTTCATTTTCTGAAGAACTACTAACACCATGTATTTGTAAGTTGCTTTATCAAATTTTTCTTTTCTCCAGTTAACAGATCTTTCCCATACGATGCCAGTTAAGTGCAGTGCAAACCGAAGGGATTGGTTATTGTTTTATTGAGAACCCTGAATTTCTTAATGGCTAATTTAATGAATCTAACAGCCAAGATTGCTCAGTTATTACCAAAAGATATAAGAAAACTTAAATTCCTCCTCAAATTTATACAGTGAATAACCCATATACCTCTACCTAGATTCTACCATTAATATTTTACTATACCTGTTTTATTATCTACCCATCTTTCTATCTCTCCATTAATCATCTTATTCTTTTTTTTTTTTTAGGTTTATTTATTTATTTTTGAGAGAAAGCGAGAGAGTGAGTGAGTGAGCATGAGCAGGTGAAGGGCAGAGAGACAGAGAGAGAGAGACAGAGAGAATCGTAAGCAGGCTCCATGATGCTAGTGTGGCTTCAACTCATAAACCTTGAGATCATGACCTGAGTGGAAATCAAGAGTTAAATGCTTAACCTGACTGAGCCATCTAGGCACCCTAATCATCTTATTCTTCTAATGCATTTCAAAATACATGTATCAATATATTTTCTACTAAATACTTCAGTATGCATATCATTAAGTACAATTTAATATTTGTTTACAAATTTTTAAGTTAAAATTTTACAAAAAATGTACAATTTGTGCATTTGGTAAGTTTTGACAAATCTATATATCTATGTAACCCAAACTCCTTTCAAGGTAAGATATTGCCATCACCCTGGAAAGTTATCTCTTGCCTCTTCATCATTAACTGCCACCACTCTCCCATCTCCATGCCTTACCCCAATTCTGTGTCTGAGGCCATCTTTGCTCTGATTTTTTGCACTGTGAATCAGTTTTGCCTGTTCTGGAATCACACACTATGTAGTCTTTTGTGTAAGTCCTCTTTCACTTAGCATGTTTGACATTCATCTATGATGAATCTATGATGTGTGAATTAATAGTTCCTTCCATTTTATTACCATTGTTTGAATAAATCACAGCTGGTTTATCCATTCTCCTTTTGATAGACTTTTGAGTTGTTTGGTGTTTAGTTTTTGCTGTTATAAATAAGGCTTCTATGAACATTTTTGTAGAAGTCTATTTGTGGACATGTTTTTATTTTCTTGTGTAAATACCTAGGAATGGAATTGCTGGGTCATAGGGTATGTATATTTGATATTATAAGAAATTATCAGATTGGTTTTTTTAAAGTAATTCTACCATATTACACTTCAACCAAGAATTTATTAGAGCTTCAATTGCTCCACATCCTCACCAACATTTGATGTTGTCAGTCTTCTTAATTCTAGTCATTTCAATAGATGAACATGATATCTCATTGTGGTTTTAATGTGCATTTCTCTGTTAATGATGCTGAGCACTTTTCATGTGCTTATTAGCTATTCACATACTTGTTTTGTGAGGTGTCTGTTTAAATCTTTTGCTCTTTTTTTGTGGGAGGGATTTTTTTTTTTAATTGTTGAGTTGTAACAAGTTTTTAAATATCCTAAATTCAAATCCTTTGCTTTGTGTGTGTGTGTGTGTGTGTGTGTGTGTGTGTGTGTGTGTGTATGTATTTTTTCTCTCTCTTGACTATTCATTTTCTTAGTTGGGTGTTTAGATGAACAGAAGTTTCTAATTTTGATAGAATTTATCAGTTCTTTCCTTTATCATTACTTTTTGTGTCCTAAGAAACCTTTGCTTACCTCAAGACACAAAGATATTCCCCTATACTTCCTCTAAAAACTTTATGGTTTTAGCTTTTACATTTAGGTCTATGGTCCACCTCAAATTAGTTTTTGTGTATGATGTGAGTATGAAGTAGGGTTTTATTTTCCTTTTTATATATGGATATACAGCTGTTTAGGTACCATTTGTTGAAAAGATTTTCTTACCCTCATTGTGATGCTTTGGTGCTGTTTTTAAAAACTAAGTGACCAAAAGTACATACCTATTTTGGGATCCTCGAATTTGTTCATTGATCCAATTGTTTATTCTTTTTGCAGTACCATATTATCTTGATTACTATAGCTTTATAGTAATATTGGAGTCAAGAGTATAAGTGGCGCAAATTGGTTCACTTTCAAAACTGCTTTGGATATTTTATTTCATGTTTATAATTATAAAATTGTAGTGTACATTCTTTTATCGCTCTGGAATTAAACCAGAAGTTATTAATAGAAAAATAGTTAAGGCTATCTACAGATATTTACATATTATGCAACACACTTTTGAATAATGTATGGTTCAAGAAGGCAAATGCAATAGAAATTAGAAGATACTTTGAACTGAAGATAACAAAAATATGGCAAAAGATGGGGTTTAGTTATGCAGTGCTTATAGAAAATATATAGCTTTAAATGCGTATTTTAGAAAATAAAAATAATTGAAAAATTAATTATCTAAGCTTATGTCTTAAGGAATTAGTAAAAGAACAGCAAAGTAGACTCAAAGAAAATAAAAGGGAGAGGTTACTAAATATAAGAATAGGGATCAATAAAATAGAAGGCAGTCATAGAATACAAAAATTTTACGAAGTTAAAAGAATAATAACTAATGACTTGTTGGCAAGACCATTTAAGAAAGAAAGACAAAAGAGAACATTGCTATAGATCTTACAGATATTACAAAAGATAATAAGTGAATATTATAAACAACTTTTTGCCAATAAATTTAGATGAGATGAATGAGGGGTTGGCAAACTCCTTCTGCAAAAGGCCAGATAGTAAATAGTTTAGGTTTTGGGGACTGTATGGTCACATCTATTCAGCTCTGCCTTTGCAGCATGAAAGCAGCTGTGCATAATGATTCAAAACTGGGTATGGCTGTGTCCCAATAAAACTTTATGTACAAATACAGATAGCCTGAGGGACATAGTTTGCTGACTCCTGAGACAGACAAATGCTGTAGGAAAAAAAGACGTTAAGACTGACACAAGAAATAGGAAATCTAAACATTTCTGTATCTACTAAATAAATTGAATCCATAAATTAAAACCCTTTGTCTCAAAGAAAACTCCAGGCCCAAATGGCTTCATTGGTATATTCTTCCAAGCAATAATACCAATCTTACAAAAATTCTATCAGACAATAGAAAAAGAGGAAACAGTTTCTGTGGTAGCTTTGTAATCTATCACCTTACCTAGGCTGAACTATATTTTCCAAAATTTCCTTCCCTTTATCTGTATGTTTCTAGTTGGAGTTGGCCACAAGAGACATTTTGTAAGAGATTTAGAGGACAGAAGTGTGAATCAGCATTCATTTAGCTTACACATTATTCTGCTTACCTGCTGGCTCATTTGGTTGGCTTAGGCAGCAGTCAGTTTTTCTGCCTTTTTCACTTTCAGTTTTTCTAACTCCTGGGACGTGTGCATGCGTGTGTGTGTGTGTGTGTGTGTAGTTCTGTGATAAAGGGCACTAGCTTTCCTACAGGACATATCAGATACAGCAAGATCAGATATGAGTTTCAGTCTGTTTTCACTGTTTTCAACTCATGCGTATGGGTTCCAGCTTCTCCTGTTCTTCCTTACTTTACATCTATCTTCCCTCCCAACTGTCTGCCCTGGGGACTCCAGTATTGGATGCTACACTCTTATGGAGAATGCCCAGTTAGATTCCACAATTGCAGGAGACCAAATCCCTATAACAAATCCTATATATGTGTGTGTGTATGTATGTATGTATGTACACGTTTGGTTCTGTTTCTCTGAATCCTGCTATTTCCCCAGCTCTTACTTTGAGTCTAGCATAAACTTGGCACTAAAACCTGACAAAGATATTACAATAAGAAAAATTGTAAGCCAGTCCTTCTCATCAACAAAAATGTAAAAATTCTAGGGGTGCCTGGGTGGCTCAGTCAGTTGAGTGTCCGATTTCAGCTCAGGTCATGATCTCACAGTTGGTGGGTTCGAGCCCCGCGTCGGGCTCTGTGCTGACCGCTCAGAGCCTGGAGACTGCTTTGGAGTCTATGTCTCCTTCTCTCTCTGCCACCACCCCCCCCTCCCCGCTCATGCTTTGTCTCACTCTGTTTCTCAAAAATAAATTAATGTAAAAAAAAAAAACAATTTAAAAAAATGTAAAAATTCTAAACAAAATATTATCTAGTAGAAACTAGTTATGTGGAAAGAATCATAATTCTTGACCAGGTGAGGTTTACTTCAGGAAAGTAGACTGGTTTAACTTTAAAAAAAAAAATCAGATTTACCACATTAAATTAATAAAGGAGTAAAAACATGATCATCTCAATAAATGCAGAAAAGCACAGTGATCAGCTGTGCCAAATGCAACTGGGTGAGATAAGATAAGAACTGAGAATTTTTGATTTGGCCGTGTGGATAGTCCTTGGTGACCTACATGAAGTTTCAATGATGCTGGTAGAGACCAAACCCCGGTAGGAGAAGATTTAAGGAAGAATTGGAAGAGAGTAAGTGGAGATGTTAAATATAAACAAAATGCCAACAATTTATGCTGAGGAATGCAGAAAAGTTGGGCTGTGGATAGAAGAGGATGTGGCACCAGGGGACTATTTCTATTTAAAGGTGGAAGATATTATATCATGATGATAATGAAGAGAAAGAAGTGTCATTGCTGAATCTGTGGGACTCAAATAACAGAAGGTTTCACATGTTATTGACAGTGTGAAATAAAAAGGACATTCATTCCCCTTCCAACCCTTAAGTATGTATGGTGGTTAAAATATCAGTGAAATGGAGGAGGGTATAAGTATGTTTATTACCCAGAAAGTGTAGTACAAATTGGAGAGGGAGAGAAGAGAAAGCACAGAGCTGTTTGGAGATGACAGTGTGGGAAAGATGGATGACTGGAGGGCTCACATTTGGGTGCAGAACAAGGACAGCAGGGTATATGGCAAGGTGGATTTGGCTGGCAAGAGATTTAGTCCTAGCACTTCTTAGAAGAGGATGGTGGTGTTTCTGTGTGTGGTGTTTACATAGTAGACAGGAAAGGGTAGCTCCTGGTGGGCATTTAGGCCACTCAGAATGCAGCAGTGGAATTGAGAGGTTACACCTCAAAGAGTTTGAATTTAGTTGATGAGTTGATTCTAGTTTTTCTGTGAAGAATCAACTTGAGTCTGTAATTTGAAGGTTTGGGGGAGATACAAGGCTCCCAGCACACAGGCTCAGGCTCATAGAGATTCTCAGGCCTAGAGATTCTTCGTGATATGGGGCCCAGCTGAGGGTTGTAGAGGCTATAAAGCTTTTCAGTTTTGCAGATACAGTGTGGGTGGGTAGGGTATCTTGTCACCATGCTCAATGTAATGGATTTGTGGGATGGTAGGTGGAAGATGGGAGAGTTGGTGATGCTCTACTGAAATTAGCCCAGTGAATATGAGACCAAGTGAGTAGAAACATTGGTATCCTCAAGCTTTGTTCTGTCATGGCTGCTAATTGATTTAAATATTTATATCTCTATAATATGTATTTGAATTATGGGGCTGCCTTGCATAATGTTTCCTCTTTTTTATTTATGTATGAAGATTTTAATTCATCTCTGTCTATGAACACTGGTGGACTGGCTGTTTCCCAGAATCTCATTACTGGATGATGATGTTGCTATTAGTGTCATATAAGCAGAATTAATAAAATTGTTTAAAGAGTCAAATGAAGAGCCTGTTCTAGTGAATTACACATTACCAGTTTTTAGAGCTTAGAAAATTCTTGAGAATTGCCTTAAAACCTTAATGCCGTGAATCAAGATATAAGTAACATCAAGAGTTACATGAACATGCTTGAGATTATGTTTGTGGCCAACTTTTTCAGTTGCCTTGCAAAGAAAATTCTTGGATATTGTTTTGATTCTTGGCAATTTTGGAGTCATCTGATAGCATGCTTCCAAAATAACAATGTGATGATAGCTTTCAACATTGGGTTACCAAAAAGGATTGTTGTATACATTGATTCATAATTTCAGGTTTCTTCACCATTATGGTAAATACTGCATTGAGACTTCATTGTTGCACATGTTTGGAATCTTATGTTTGTACTCTCATGGCTGTCTTCAGCCCTCAGACATTCTTGATTATCACATTGAGAACTCTAGACTCTCAAAACATTTTGGTTTCTATTATGTAGGATGCATATGAGATTCGTTTGTTCTACTTCATTTTCTTCTGTTTGTGATAGAGATGGGATCAGATGGAAACATCTTGATATTGGTATGCATGCTAGTCTTCATTCTGTGTAAATACAGTGCTCTTTTCTACCATCATGACTTTGTTCATGTTATTTTCTGCTCTTAAAATTCCCTCATCTTGTCCCTTCGCCCATCTAAAACTAAAATACCTTTCAAGACTCTTCTTTTGTAGCTTTCTCTGAGTATTATAGTCAAATACCTTTTTCTGAACTCCTACAACATTTGTATTACATTATTATTTAGAAAATAATTGTTTCTTATTCATTACTTTACCAAGGCCTTATGTATCTGCAGAAACTTGTCTTGATGACTTCAATTGTTTATCATTCCCTGTATCCCTACCATGTAACTTTGTCTTCCCACTGTGGGCAGGGTGACCCGCCCACTCCTTGACTTTGACCTCAGTCAGGTGACTTGCTTTAACTAATGAGAAGTTAGCAGATATTACACAAGAAGAGACTTGAACTTGTCTTGCACATTGAGGATTCTCTGTTGAACCTCTGCCATCACCAGGAGAACATTCCTCTGCTAGCCCACTGGAGAGAGTTCCACATGGAACAGAGCCCTTGCTACAGCTGAGGCCTTCCTAGATCAGCAAATACCCATTCAAACATCAGACGTTAAAGCAAGTCCAGTTGAGGTCAGTAGAGCTGCCTAACAGACTTTCAGCTGATTCTAGAAGCACAAGCTATATAAACATAAAGTTTTGTGTGTGTTTGTTACACAGCATTATTATAGCAGTAGGTAATTGATACAAATGTTCTGTGTCGCCTGGCCTTTGTCTTGCTTGCTAAGTTTTTTACTATTCTCTCCCTCAGTCTTTGATCACTGTCTAGCCATGTTGGCCTTCTTTCTGTTCCTCTGATATGCCAAGATAACATTTTTGGCTCTAGATCTTTGCCCTACTCTGTTCCCTCTGTCAGGAGCATCTTCCTCCTATTATTTGTATGGGCATTTATCCCTCATCATCCTGAGGCTCAGCTCACGTGGCATGATTTCTGAGAATGTTTCCTTGATTCCACTGCCTGAAGGAGCCCTCTTCTAAGTCATTCTGTATTCTATCTCATCTTTTCATTTTCTTTACTGTGCTTCTTATTTTCTAAAATTATCTTATTTGTGTATATGTTCATTGCCCATTTTCCCCAGTGTCCAGGAGGGTAAGGACTTTGTTTTATTTACCTTCTTAACCCTGGTATTAAGAACAGAATCTGGCATATAGTAGACTTTCATTAAATAAGAGGTAAATGTATGAATACATTTTTGTTAAGATGACAGACAATACAAAGTATGATAGGTTCCTCGGGCTGCTGTAACAAATTACCATAAATTTGATGGTTTGAAACTACAGAAATTTATTTCTCACAGTTCTGGAGGCCAGATATCTGAAATCAAGCTGTATGTAGGGCCACAGTCCCTCCAGAGGCTCTAGGGAAGATCTTTCATTGCCTCTTCTAGCTTCTGGTGGCTGTTGGCATTGTGGCTGGCTGCATCTGTCTCTGTCTTCATAAGATCTTCTCTGTGTCTTTCCTCTGTGTATCTGTCCATAATATCCCTCTGCTCCTTACCTCTAAGGGTTCATGTGATGGCATTTGGGGCCCACCTGGATAATATAGGAATATCTATTCATCTCAGGATCCTTAATTTAGTCACATCTGCACAGACCCTTTTTTCCAAATAAGGTATTACATACACGTGACCATGTTATGTAAGCTCACTGTGCTATTTCCTCTTCTTCCAAAATTCAGTTATATAAATAGCTGAGTTAAGAAAAGTTATTTCTGCGATTGAGAAATACCTGCTTCTGGTCATTAGAATGTAAGCTAACTGAGGACAGGGGAATTTGTTTTGTTTCATTTTTCCCCCTGCCCCCCACCAGCAGTCTTTTCAAAACCTTTGAAAATGCAAGCCAAATCACTTCACTTCTCAATTCAAAAACGTCAAAAAACTTCAGGCTGCATAGTGGTGTCCAAACCTCTCCTTGATCTGATGGTCTCTCTGATTTTCTGATGTCTTCTTTTGCGCTTCTAAACTTGCTCTCTCAGCTCCAGGCACATTGGCCTAATTGCTGTCTCTTAAACTTGTGGTTTCCATGCCTGAAACTCTCTTTCCCCAGGTATCTGCCAGCTTGCCCCTTTACCCTCTAAGTTGTGTCTCAGAGGTCATCTTTTTAGTAAGGTCTTCCCTCCACAGCCCTTTCCTGTTAGGCCCTGCCCCTCTTCCTCACTTTCATTTTCTCCTAGAACTTAGTATCACCTGACATGCTATTTTACTTATTTCTTTGCTGACTGGCTTTCTCTGTCCAGCAAAATGTAAATTCCATCAGGACAGGGATATTATCAGTTTGTTCATTGCTATATCCCCAAGGCTTTAAATAGTGTTTGGCACATAGTAAGCACTCAATAAATGTATATTGAATAATTCAATGAATGTTCTGCAATGTGACAGTCCAGTGAGCCACCCAGATTGCTGAGATATGGTCTGCCTGTCTAACACTATGTGGAGATAATATTTCTGTGGATTTTTCTGTATTCTAAATGCTTGGTTTAGACTGATTGATTTTAGTATTTACTACTGTGTACTTGAAATGCTGTTAATTCTCCATGTAGTCAAAAATGGCTAAACTCTCTAATCCCTTTCTTTACAACTTTGTGGAGTGAAATTCCCAGGTAAACAACCTGTTAAATGTCTTGTTAGATTTCTTTTAGTTGTGTATATTTTGGGGGCAGTGGTAGTGGTAGCAAAGAGACACTTTAATGGAAAACCATAAGTTAGGATTCCCCATTCTCTACTTAAAACTCCAATAAGTTCTTTTTTCAAATTAAAAAAATATATATGTTTTAACTTTTAGTTTTAGAGAGAGCACGTGAGTGGGGGAGAGGAGCAGAAGGAGAGAGAGAGGATCTTAAGCAGGCTCCACACTCGGCATGTAGCCTGATATGGAGCTCAATCCCATGACCCTGAGATCGTGACCTGATCCCAAATCAAGAGTCGGATGCTCAACCAACTGAGCCGCCCGGGTGCCCCTAAAACTCTAAGAAAATTCTTAACTGAAATTTTGATAAAAAGCAAATCAGGCTATGTAGCATAAGATGAATAAAGGGCACTATAGTGTAGTTGCACTAGCCACATTTTAAGTGCTTAGTTGTCACACATGGCTAGTCACTATCATTTTGAACAGTGCAGTTATAGAACATTTCATCATTGCAGACAATTCTACTGGACAGCACTGCCCTAGACAGTGGGAACTGTGAAGATTGATCTAGATAATAAGATAACAGTTACTTTATGTTTTGTCTCCCCAGGGAAAGTATAAGGATTGTGTTTTGTAGTTCTCTTGTGCTTTTATTCATTCAACAGATGGTTACTGTGTATCTAATAATACATGCCAGGCACTGTGCTAGCCATTAGGAATTCAGTAGTTGGCAGGAGAGCCTCAGGCCCTTCTGTATGAAGCTTATATTCTAATGGGAGAGATACTCATTAAATAGTCAATCATACAAATAGCTATAATCTACATAATGCTGGATATAAAGTAGCTGTTTAAACAACCACTGGTTAATTAACGAATATGTACAGTCTCACCAACTTCTTAGATCCTTACAAAACAGGCACAAAAAGTTACATAGTAATGTATAGTTCAGGTATACAGGTAGTGTCAAAAGTTTCTGTGCAGCTAATAAATTTAGTAATATGCAGACTGCCTTTTGTATTTTTTTTATTTCGGACATAGAGCAAAGATTATGTCAGTTGCCCTGTGGTTTAAAGCCACAGTTATTCTGAGAGTACACAGTTGCCATCATTGAACAGTAGCTGATCCAAAAGAATTCCAGCCAAGATCTTGCCAATGATGGAAACAAATGATGTGTCCTGGTAGTTGCCAAGAAGTATATTTTTCTTGTTCATGGCAATCATTGTGTCCTTGAAGCTCTTCATATATTGTGATGTACATATATGACTGCTCCTTAGGAAGCAGTCAAATTGATTCAAACCCTGCTTACCTCTGTGTAATTTGCAGTTATACAGATGCCTTATAAATGTTTTCAGTACTGCTGCCGCCGCTGCTGTTGCCAATAACATTCCATAGAAAGTTCTAGAAGTGCCATGGAGACTGGCACTTTATCATTGTTTATTATTTTAATTTCATTTTTCCCTTCAAATCAGCAAGTCTTGCTTGTGCTGTTAAGTCCTAGAAATTCTCCTTTAATATGGAAGGGGGTATGAAGTGTAATTCACACCTCTGAGAATTTTCTTTTTGTTGTTGATTTTTGTAACCTCCTTTAGACTTCTCTAGGTGGTATGTCTGTGTGTGCTTTTTATTGTTAGACACTGACACTGCTAGTACCCATAATAATCAAAGGAATTCTTGCATTGGTTAATAATTAGTGGAGTAACAGATTCACAATAGAAGCAAATAAATTGGGAGATTAGTTTTCCTATGCAAAGAGGAGTTTGGGAATAATCAGAGCACAGCCAGTGTGGTGGCTCCACATGTCACCAGAAACTAGGTTCTCTCTTTGTTCTTGGCCATACTTAGTACCGGCTTCCATCTCCAACATCACTATGGTAGTTGTTGCAACTCTAGTCATCATATCTGTATTTCTGGCTGAAAAGAGGTCGGGGGGGGGGGGGGGAGGAAGGCAAAATATAGCACACATCAGTTGAAGCCACACAAGGTATGTCTATCTACCTCTCACAAAATCATTCCTTATTGCAAGGGAAGCCAGGAAGTAATTTTTAGGTAGATCTAGTTGACACCCCAAATAGTATTAAAAGTAAAGAAAATTAGGAGTATAGATATTATGTTGATAGCTTACAGTCTTTCTCACTGTCTAGCATATATTATTGTTGGTAAACTGTGGGCAGGTGGAAAAACTACTGTTATTAAGAGTGTGAAATTGCTCATGAGTCCACTTTTATGAATATGACTTAAATGTAGCTATATGGAAAGCAAGAAAAATACACTTTCTACTTTTATAAAGGAAAAACTGGTTGAGGTAATGAAATATTTTTGGTACGTTTTGTTTGACCCTGGCTAGTCAAGTATTTCCCATGACCTGAAGTATTGTTCACTCAGGAAAGAAAAATCAAGCACGTAGTAGGCACCCAATAAATCTTACTGAAATTAATCACATTTACCTATCTTTGGTAGAAGTTCATTATGTGGTTTGCTTATTAATACAGGGTAATGTTACACTAGCATGAATGATTAATGCCACTTGAAGGATGACATCATGAAAACTCGAATTACTTCATTTGTTCAGTTTTCTCATTTTAGAATATGACAGCAATACCAAAAACCATGATGCCTAGGAATAAAGCTAACCAAAGAGGTAAAAGATCTGTACTCTGAAAACTAAAGAACACTTATGAAAGAAATGGAAGATGACACAAAGAAATGGAAAAATATTCCATGCTCATGGATTGGAAGATCAAATATTGTTAAAATATTTATACTACTCAAAGCAATCTACAGATTTAGTGCAATCCCTATCAAAATTCTACCAGCATTTTTCGCAGAGCTGGAACAAACAATCCTAAAATTTGTATGGAACCACAAAAGACTCTGAATAGCCAGAGCAATCTTGAAAAAGCAAAGCAAAGCTGGAGGCATCACAATTCTGGACTTAAAGATATATTACAAAGTTGTAGTCATCAAGACAGTATGTTACTGGCACAAAAACAGACACATAGATCAATGGAACAGAATAGAAAACCCAGAAATGGACCCACACCTATCTATATGGTCAACTAATCTTCAACAAAGCGGGAAAGAATATCCAATGGAAAATAGCCTTTTCAACAAATGGTGCTGGGAAAACTGGGCAGTGACATGCAGAATGAAACTGGGCCACTTTCTTACACCAACACAAAAATAAATTCAAAATGGATGAAAGACCTAAATGTGATGCAGGAAACCATCAAAATCCTAGAGAAGAACAAAGGCAGCAACCTCTTTGACCTCGGCCATAGCGACTTCTTACTAGACAAGTTACTGGAGACAAGGGAAACAAAAGCAAACATGACTATTGGGATTTTATTAAGATAAAAACCTGCACAGCAAAGAAAACAATCCACAAAAATCAAAGGCAACCTATGGAATGGGAGAAGATATTTGCAAATGATGTATCTGATAAAGGGTTAGTATCCAAAATTTATAAAGAACTTATCAAGCTCAACACCCAAAAACAAATAATCCAGTTAAGAAATGGGCAGAAGACACGAATAGACATTTTTCCAAAGATGACATCCAGATGGCTAACAGACATTTGCAAAGATGATCAACATCACTCATCATCAGGGAAATAAAAATAGAAACCACGATGAGATACAACCTCACACCTGTCGGAATGGCTAAAATTAACACAGAAAACAACAGATGTTGGTGAGGAAATGGAGAAAGGGGAAACCTCTTACAAACTGGTGCAGCCACTCTGGAAAACAGTGCAGAAGTTCCTCAAAAAGTCAGCAATTGCACTATTAGGTATTTACCTAAAGGATACAAAAATACAGATTCAAAGAGGCACATGCCCCTGAATGTTAATAGCGGCATTATCAACAATATGCATTATCAACCAACTATGCAGAAAGCCCAAATGTCCATTGACTGATGAGTGGATAAAGATGTGGTGTATATACACAATGGAATATTATTCAGCCATGAAAAAGAATGAAATCTTGCCACTTGCAATGATGTGGATGGAGCTAGAGGGTATTATGCTAAGTGAAGTAAGTCAGAGAAAGACAAATACCATATTATTTCACTCATGTAGGAAGTTAAGAAACAAAACATGTACATAGGAGTAGGGGGAGAAAAAGAGGGAGGCAAACTGTAAGAGACTCACCTATAGAGAAGGTTGCTGGAGGCGGGGTGGGTGGGGGAATAAGTGTTGGGTATTATAGAGGGCACTTGTGGTGAGCACTGGGTATTATATGTAAATGACGAATCACTAAATTCTACTCCTGAAACCAATATTACACTATATGTTAACTCACTAGAATTTACATAAATAACTAGAACTTAAATACAGCAGCAACATTTGCTAAGGACTTATTTTAATAAGGCTATTTGACCATTTAACAAATATTTAGTGGAATTTTTTGCCATTTTGTTATAAAATCACACAAAAATACACAAGGAAACTTCACACAAATGTATAGCTTAATAGGTTATTACAAGAGAAAATAACCACTCAAGAAATGAAACTTTTCTGTACACTCCACAAACCTCTGTGTGCCCAATCTCTCTTTCAACCTCCTAGTTAACACCTCAAAAATAACCATTATTATTATTATTTTTTTATAGTAATGGATTCTTTGAATTTCTATGTACTTTGAATACTCAAGTGTGCATACCTAGACACCATAATTTAGTCTTACTCATTAAAAAAAAAACCCAAAACTTGTCTTAGAAGTCTGTTTTTGAAAATAGGTTTCGCCTCCATCTTTTTCTTTTTTACACAATTTATCTGTTGATTAGCCCAAGATATTTGACCTGTAGAATTTCCTACAGTCAGGATTTTACTAATTATGTACTTACGGTGAAGTTCAACCTACTTATTTGCCCTCCTTATTTCATGCAAATTGGTAGTAGGATCCAGAGACTTAATAAAACTCATGTTTGATCCCTTCAGTAAGAGTGTAAGTGAGGTTTTTGTTTTGTTTAATCAAGAAGCACATAATTATTCATGTTATTATCAAGTATTGATGCTCAATTAATTGGGGGTTTAAAAGTGGTGAAATTCTAATTTATCATTTTTTTTTCATTTATTATTTGAAATACTTTTATAAGAGATGTTTCCCCTTGTCTAATATTTTGTTTCTTGGTGGTACACTGTATATAAGAAATGAAGGATAAATGCTTGGTTTTTTTCCCCCTTATTTTCAGTGTTCACAATAATGAATTGGCATCCCTCTCATTCTCAAAAGGTGATCTTTTACTTTTGTTTTTCTAAGTATTAATATGAACTCATGAATTTAAACATGCTTTTTGTGTTTCATTCACTGAAATTATTACATGACTTAGAGCTCAAATTGTTCCATCTTTGGCCAGGGGGAGCCTCTTTACATGGGCTCCAGAGTCTGTGATAGCTTTCTTGCCATCTAGTATGGTCCATTGTTCCCGGTTCATCTTATACATTTCTTTTGCTAGACCTGAATTTGTCATTTCTTCAAAAAGTCTTGAAGTGAGAGTTGGAATTTCAATGCTACAATCTGGGTAACAGAGCTCTTATTGCTATTGGGTTCGTCATTTTTTTCTAAGCCTCTCCAGTGGATACAGCAAATAAACACATTATGTTAAATAGTTTGATGAACTCATATTAATGCTTCCAGTTCAAATTCAACTATAATAATTTGTAACTCAGTGTCTTTGTGTTGTATTTGTATCTGCTTTTTCTCTCCCACTGAAAATCCTAGTTCTCAAGGACACAGAGGATATTAGAATATCTCATAATTACTCATGTATTTTGTCCTAAATTAAATAATCTCAAAATATTAATCTGTTAATACTTCCACTACCAATGTCATGAAGAAAGTTTTTAAAAAGGTGGGTTTTTTTTTTCTTTTTGGTTTTTGCATGTGTCTGCTCCATTTTTGAAGTTGTGCAAGAGTTTACCATTGTATGAGCATATAAGCATTACATACTGTTTTCTGTTTTTTTAACACTCCTTTAGTATTAATTTTATGAATATACATTTATATTTAATGCTCATTACTAGACTTAGGTTGATGTCTATAGTCATTTTGGTTGTTTGAAGCTAATTCTCTGGTATGCCCCTTAGTAGGCCTCATAGGAACAATATTTCCTGAGGTTTTGCATGTTGCGAAATCATTTGTACCCTTTCTCAGTGAAGAACATTTTGCTGGATATAAAATTTTTAGCTCACAATTTGTTTTCTTGAGTATCTTAGATATGGTTGCTTTGACTAATGCCCAAAAACATTGATTCAATTCCACAGCTGTTCATGAAAAAAAAATTATTAATAAATCAGAAATAACATAAAAAAGAATATATGTCATTTACTAACACCAATAAAATAATTAGCCTTAAAACA